TACCTTGCAGATGTCACATACTTGAATTTAAGTACTCCAATGCCACTGAAGGTACCTATAATGCAATTATTTCCATGTTTGGATCTTGACTTCTGTGTCAACTGCTGCATAGTGATGAACTCCTGCTGACAGGTGGTGTCTTCGACTGCAGTTGCCTTTATGTCTCTTTTTTTTTCTTAAGAAAAATGAAAGCAGATTTCCAAGAAAATCATACTGTGCTCCAAAATACAACTGCATAAAGGAAGCTGCAGAGACAGACCAAGGCCTCTTGACTAATAAAGACCAGGCAATAATATGTCTTCTATCACCAAAGCTTCACAAAAGACCTAACTCTGCAAGATACAAACTCTCAATTATTCTAATGTGATCTTTTGTGGCATTTAGCAGACTTAGCAAAGACCAGAAAACTCAGAACACTATATTCCCATTCAAACATAACTGTAATTTATTGAGTGTTTCCCCACTGAGAAAAAGTAGTCAGGTTTTAAGTAAATGTTTTACCAATACGTATGCAAAACATGCATATATAGATACATGGTACAAACTATCCTCCTTTCTGGACAACAGCTTTAAGCATGGCAAGAGGGCCATAAGACTTCAGTGGCACTCAGCTTGCAGTGGTTATGAAGGAATGAATAAGCTCCAAAAAGGAGCAAGGTCATGGGCAATGCTGCTATATGTGTGAAAATGCCATATGAGAAAAGGCTCAGGTCTGACTGTAAGCATTTCTCTGAAAGGAAGTTTGATCTGGATCTGATCTGACAAGGCTCTGGAGGGTGTTTGTAGATCAAACTACTCCCTCCCCAGGTACCAGGCTGGTATTCAACCTCCTGGAGTCACTCAGGTGCTCTGGTGGATATAAGCATAATTTGTGATGACATCTAGGCTACACCACAAGATTATGCTTCTTCTGGTGCATTAATTCAAAATACTTGCCAGGAGACTGGCTTCAGCTGCTTAGATATGCATCTACAGTGCATCTGTGGCTAAAGCTGTACTCAAGAGTGGCAGAACTAAACTGAACTGCCACCCTCAGGAAAACTTTATTAGAACAATTTCACTTTAAGCAGTTTACGTAACTAGATCTTAAATACACCAGTTTTCTAAAAACACTGTCAAGCACTTATCCTTAACTAACCTGTTCAGGTTTATTTTCTAGATGAATACCTGGAAATATTGACCATCCATATTCCTTGAAATCACTGCACTGGAGCAATTCTTCAACCTACTACTGATTTTCTTTGAGAATGCCATTTCAGATCAAAATGCTGAAGATATCTTGCCCTGAAAATCAAATCCTTAGGAGATCTAGGTTCATATGGATGCTAGACCTTTGAGCAAAGGCAGACCATTGGTTTTTAGTGTCACGTGTAACATTAACAGTCTTGACCTGGATCCTGTCTGCAGGTATTGGAGAGCACTAAGCAGTTTTCTTGTCTTTGTCTTTTTCTCTGGTATGTAATAAATGCACCAAAGGGGATAGTCTGGGTCTTTTTCATAAGCCTAGTAGACAGTTTCTAAAGAAAAAAGTGGAACGGTCAGTATGGAAGCGGAAAAAAACCAAACCAGATTATTCTGGCATATGTCATCAACTTTTGGTTTGCAAAACAAAGTATGTCATACTGCCTTTTGTCCTGAGAGGTATTTGGGCTTAAATATGTCACTGAGTCAACAAACTTATATACTTCAATCTAGTCAGATCACCTGTCCCAAACAGCTGTCAGAGCACTGCAACGTAGTTTTTGGTCTAGGGATTCATTTTCCCTGAAACTGCTTTGTTCATATTTAGTTCTACCCTTTGTGGCTGGCTTTGGAACGAATCACTTTCTTAAAAATCAGAAAAAAATACCCATTACAGACCAAATGTTCCATATTTCCTTGAGAAGGACATGAACATGAATTTTGCCAAAATTCTGACTTTGCCAGTTTCCAGAAGTGCATGTTGGGCTTTTTTGCCTTTTTTAAGTCCTTGAAAACATGATTCCCATCATACAATTATTAGACAGAGGATTTTTAGGCAATACCAAACATGATTTACGCTGCAGGGTGTAGACCAAACATTTAGAACTGTTCTTTTACACCAGGTGGAGGTGATACAAAGACATCATTAACAGTTAGTGTTTTGGTATGGAGCTCCAAGGCCAGTCGTGTGGCATTCATTAGTTCGTACTGTATGATCTTAGAAAAGGCTCTGAAACTGTTTAAACATGCTTAATAGTCACTTTGTGCTGCTGGAGTAGAGAACCTCAGCCTATTTCTGAAACATCCAACTATTTTTAAATAAAACTGCTAAGTATCAGTGGCAATATAAGCAGTTTTCAGTGTGTAAGAACTTCCTGCTACTCTTGTTCTTTCCTTCAAGTGTTTTTTTGTGACAAAGAAAGTAAAGATAACCAAATTTACACAGATATGAGTGGCAAAAGTAACATTGCTGTCACTGAGAGAAATTCCTTGAAGTGGAAAGAACACCTACAGCAAAGATTTGGAGGGGAGAAACGAGGAAAACACAACATATGTTTTCAAAATTCATTCCAACATGAAAGGGGCATGTAAAGGATAAGATTGTATCTATTTTGACCCTTCCTTTGTTCAACTTCCCAGCAAAAACCTATGCTCACAAGAGAAACAGCTGAACCTTGCCAGAGGTTACACAAAACTGCACCTCTGTGCCTTCACAGCTTAGTCAAAACTGCTTTGAAAAGCACATTTCTCTCCAGTCACTGGATTTTTGCATGGAAACAAGTGAGGTGAGTGCATACACTCCACTCCATCAGTTACTCTAACAGTCCCTCCTGAAGACATACACTGGTAACATCTTAAACTGTACCAGCTAGATTTGCCTGGAGCTCATCTAACCTCCCTTTAAGGTTCTGCCATGCTTTCAGATCTTACGTAGATGGAGACTGAATTAGCTAAGCTACTTTTCCACTAGTATCCCAGCATTATCACAGGCAGGTAACAGCCCTACTGACAACTCTTTTACACTGTTGTCAAAGATCTCTGTGTCTTCCTACTTCCCCGCAGTCAGGAGAATGACTTGCTATTTTGGAATCACTGGTGCTCCAGGCTGACCTATAAACTTCCTTCAGACCCATGGCTGGCAAGGTCATGAACCCATCACAAAGGACTGCTGATTGTCCTACTGTTTACAAAAACAGGTCATGCCTTCCCCACAGTTAGCTTTTCTATTATTGTGTCAAGCCCTCCAGGAACTACATCTTGTGTCCAGGCCATTTGCTGTGGTAATTATTTCCTTAACAGAGGTGTGGTCCCATGCATGTGAAGCAATGTCAGTATTTGATTTTCTCTGTAAAAAAAATTTAGAAACTAAGTTAACAGTGGTCATATGTAACCTGAAGTGAAGCAGCTTACACAATTCTGGGGCCAGCAGACACATTAAGCATTGTGCTGAGTGCAAGTTCCTGGATATACATCCTTGTTCACGTTGTTCCTCTTCTGCTTCCAGAAACAGAGGGAAAACGAATCTCAATGCCCCCGGGGCAGTACACAGTCACGTTCTCCTCTGGTTGTTACACATTTGTTTTAGTGCCAAGTTTTTCTGTCTCTTTTTACATGGTGTTTCCAGAAGCCCTGAATACATTTATTAGCATTGTTAAGAGGATAAACAAAATGAGAGACATAAAGGTCTCTTCATAGCCCTACCTCAGCTCCAACTCAGCTTTGAGGTTTATATTTAGTGTTTCACGGAGTGTTTTTGACTAAATGTTCAAAGCTGAGGCCCCTTCAGTGCTTAAAGAGCTGTCATGAACACGCACAGAGAACTGCATCCTGGCTGAGGCAGGCTGGTGCCCTTCTGTACCAAAACCGGCATTTCAATCACAAAGCACTATGTCAGTGTACTCGGCTATCCTGTGAACCCAGACACTGACTCAGGCTTTCGACAACACAAGAGGCAGAGGAAAACACAGCTGTGGTTATCTGGTAATGCAGAGCTGCCTGGTCTCACCCTTAATGCAGAAGGCCTGGGTCTCAGTCCCCCGTCTTTCCACCTGCGGAGCGCAGGGGTGCAGGCACTTGTCAGCTCAGGTCTGGAAGCAGAAGAGCTGCACTGGAGTGCCAGGGCACTGGAGCCAGTAAGCAGTGCTGAGCTCCTGCTCTGCTTGTCCGCTCCAGCTGGCTTGGACCCAGACAGCTCAAGTTTCTCTGCGTATCACTTCCCTGCTCTCCAGATTCTGGGGCCGGCACAGGCAGAAGCAGCCCAGATCTGTTTGCACACAGGATTTAAGTTGTTTTCCTGTGGCTCGGAGCAGAGCAAACAAAGATGAAAGGGGCAGCAGCTGGAATTACACAGCTTTGTAAGGATTCCATAATCACGCATGCATTTCCTGTATCTGGAAATAAGGAGACACTTTCCAAACATTTTGCACTTGTAAAAGGCTGCTAAGTAAAGGGAAATCCACCCATCCTGCAACTTTAAGAGCTGCAGCTGCAGAGTAGAAGCAGAGAGCAGTAACTAGTTTGCTTACCCACTGCTATCTTCCTCATGCAGCAACTTCCTCCCTGATGGCGGGAGAATTTTTACCTACTAAGAAGAAGTAGCAGTAAGCTAGAAAACAATCAGAAAGCCTTTTTTCCCTCTCCCTTCTCACTTTCTGCCTGGAGTGGTTTAGAGAAAGTATGATTTCTGTGAGGGAAATAATCACAACATGAAGCTGCTGTACCATCTTCTGGTTAACACTGCATGAAAGTGTTCAGGGAGCTCCTCATTCACTTCCTTCAAAAGTCTCGAGGCCAAAAAAATGAAAGCATATTACAATGCCAGAGATGTACGAGGTACATCTATCATTCATGGCTTTTTCTGCACAATCTAGTCCCTCTGAAGGATGGTCATTCTTCAACTGAATCATGCTGCAAACTTATTTCTATCTCATTGTCATGCTTTCTGTACAGTTACTTAACTATGTTCCTTACAGGAATTCAGTTTGCTTTCATTTCAGATTGCAAATAAAAAGAGAAACAACAGCAAGAAGAATTACATAAAGTATGTGCTTTTATTTTAGACTTTCATGGCACATTTTGATTTGTAAACATTAAATTACCAGTCCCCTTCCTCATATGTTGAAAATAACCACCAGACATTTGAGAGCATTACCTGAGATTTCAAAAAAAAAAAAAAAAAAAAAAAAAAAAAGAGATATCTGGCATCTTTTATCTTATTCACATACAGTACCATTTTAGGGAGAATTACAAAAGGGAATGTTTTCCAAAATAGGACAGTTTCCTTTTGACTATAAAGATATAGAAAATACATCAAAACTCCTTAGAATGATCAGCCTTATTGAGAGGATGTTGAAAGTCACCGTCTCAAACAATTCCACTAATGCATAGCTGCAACATTGCATCAGTCCTGTAGCAGCACGATATCAACGTTGTCATGAACACCTTGTAAAAGTAGCTCCCCTTGGTAAGTGACAATCTTCCGTCGTTTTGCAGCCTTAAGAGTTCCCACTAGGGCTTCAAAGAGGTTGGCACACTTTTCGTCAGCAAAGAGGACACCAAATTTCACGCTCACTTGTCCATCGGCATCTAAATCAAAGATATAACATGAAAACACATGCAGATTTTCTTTCATTTAGGAGATTACTGGGGAAACAGTGATACACAGTCAGAATGTTGAAAATAAACCCCATGGTGTTTCCCAATTTATTGGGGAACACGTTATGAATGCTGACAATAAATAGTAGGCAGAACTCCTGCCTGACATGACTTTCCCTTTTTTCCAGAAGCTCATATCAAAAACCACACACCTGCTATGTTTATTTTTACTGCACAGGCTATTGAACTTCTTCAAAGTATAAGGAGGAAATTGGTTTTAAATAATTAAAATGTAAAAAAAAAAATTCTAAATTAAAAAATAATTTATTTAAGGTTCACATTGAAAAAGGTACAGTGTGAATTCATTTATCAAACAAAGCAAGAATTTTAAAATAAAAGTTAAGATTAGCTAGGTTATTCCTAAAGGGCAGATGCAGTCAATCCAAATGCAAGAAATACATATCCATTTAGGTTTTGAAAAACAAAGGAAACTGAACGAAATTGCATTAAAACCAAAATATATGAGCAGGTAGCACATCCACAAATTGTACAAATATTTGTAAAGAAAAAGAAGTTTTAACAATGAAAAAACACTCTTAAGAGAAAAGGCTACCTTCTAAGCAAGTTGCAGGAAGGTTGGGACTACAACATTAACTCCTGGATTAATTTTAGGCGTACAGACCAATTTCTTCCAAATAATACTATGATGAACAGAACTGAAGTGTATGAATTCTGAAGTTCAGAAGTTACCAAGGAAGGAAATGGAAGGAAAAAGTGTAATTTTCTTCTTTGATGGCCACAGTAAGTATTGTTAGTCTAAAGAAAATGGTAATTTTGCAGTGGATTTTAGTGGGAGCAGGATTTCAGGCCTACATCCTCTGTGCTGCAGAGGCTGAAACATTTAATTTAATTAAGAACTACTTCAAAGGATGGAATGTAGGGAGTACCATACAGTCCAACATTAACTATATATGCAAGTTTTCCGGTTACTTGAGACTGCTTAATTAAATTTGCCAAGTTCATAGGTTGATAGACCATGACTACATCTGTATGACATGTATGTCATATACATACATGTATGCGTAAGAAGACTATATCTGTATGGTCAGAGATACTACAGTACTTACTTTTGGTTCCCAACCGCCGAATCTCCTCAACCAAGAGGCTAATTTCATGTTCCACATTCATTGTGGTCTAAAAAGTAAAATAAATTTTGACAAAGTTATTATGAGACCTGCAAATCCCTTGCACCACCCTGGCCTGTTCCCAGATCGTCAGGAATGTCAAAGCACTTTGTAAATCCCAGTAGCCTGGAGACACATGGCTACCAGGATAATCTGAGATTTCAGTCTTGAACGGATAAAGAGCCTCCGCACCTCCACATCTGAGCAGAAGTGAACAGAAACTGCAACCTTGGTACATTCTAAACACAAATATGAGAAGCTAATCTCAAAATACGAAAAACATGGGAAGGTCAGGACAGGCAGGTGGAGTGGGGGGGGGGTTGCTTGTTTTATGAGCTTAGGCTGCCACAGAATCCGAGCATTTGGTAATGTCACAGGTCTTCAGGGGCTTTGCAACATTCTATCAATGCCCTCAATAAAAATGGAATGCCTTCCTTGAAAATCCTCTCTGGCATATGGAATATACAATAGATTTATTTTTTTTTTAAACCACAACACAGCTTTCCACTTACTCTGGGAAGGTATCGCAGACATCCAGCTGGTTACAGCAGGTTTATGCATGCACACAGTGCCTGAACCAACAGCAACTACCACACAACGGCTACTGAGAACAGAACTGAGCCAGAGACAAACTATGCAAGGCATATCCTAAGGCGGCCAAAATTTATTTCCATTCATAGTAATCCCAAGGAACATATTGCTGAACATATCCTGTGCACTTCTCTGCTGTGAAACGGGGCAATTTTCACCAAGGTGCACCAATGCCTTGCCATACGCAACTTAGATGGCAATACTATAGTCACACAAAACACTATTTGGCTACAAAGCGTCCATGAGAGCACCAGAAAGGTGTTTTGGGATCTATGTTGCACAAAGTGGCATCAACACAATGAAACTGTTAGATGTGAAACTCCTTAAGAAAAAACTGGCATGAAGGTAAGCACAAGAAACTGGGCCCCACAGACAAAGCAAAACCTCAGATGCAGCCTCCACAGGTGCTAACAATACAGTCTGGAACAAAAGCTACAGAGAGAACTTCTGGAGCTGAGCGCTGTCCAAAAGGGGCTCAGTGAGCACTGAAACCCTCTATTGTTCAGGAAAACAGGATTTCTGCACGGATCTGGTGAATAAGCGGGCTTAAAAAAAAATGATATCTGGATGCACCACAAACTCTTCCCAAGAGAAAAGCTTCCCCTTCCTTCTTTTTTTATTGAGTTAGAATAGGTAAGAGTGACATAGTTTCACCTCCTGACCCCTCATGATTCATCCAAGAAGCAAAAAAATTTTTGTAACAGGGTCTCATTTACAGATCCCCAAAACCTGTCTTTTTAACACGCAAAATTGAGCAAGCTGAGTATCAGCGTGGGTTTCAGGCAAAGCCCTGCCCAAACCACAGTTCCAGCCCTCACGCATGATGAGAACAAATGCTCAAGTGGACATTAACAGACTAACACGGAACATCGCAACAGGATGCGCCACTGTGGTACCCGCTCCGCAAAGCTGCCTTAAAAGGGCACGTCAGCAGGGCTGTGGGATTGTCATTTGCCTTAGATGAATTCTACAAAATCCGAGATTTTGTTCAACTGCACACTAAATACACTGCCACAATTCACCGAGGAAAATGTGACCCACCTACCAAGAAGCTCACACTATCACTATTAATTTGTCAAACTGCCAGTTTTAATATTGGTCATTACAATAGCATAATTAGCTTCTTTTTAAAGTTCTTTTAACCTTAAAGGCTTTTTTAATTTTAACTTTTAATTCTTTAAATTCAGGTTAATTTAAAATTCTTCTCCCTCATACACATACACTGCCAATTTAAGTAGCAATATTTAGGGTTAAAAGAAAAATAACATATTCTACATTACTGCCCAATGCTTTTGAGATCAGAGAACCGAGGCTGTGTAAGGAAGAAGGGATTCTAGGTATTTTAAGGTAATTTATATTGTCATATACTCGACACACCAACTATCAAAAGTGCACACCAACTATTAAACTCTACTATTTCTGATGCCGACACACTGCTAGAAGCCAGCGTGATTTTTCAGTACGTAGTACGAAAACTCAACTTCTCTTTATTTGCTGGAAATTCACCTAACGGTTATTACCGCAAACACATCCCTGTGACCCACCGCACCGGCCCCTCCCGGTGCAGAACCTGCAGACCCCGAAGATGGCTCCTCGGCGGGCCCGCGTTTGGAGGCAGCGCGCGGTCCCCCTCCCACCGAGGCACCCCCCGGCAGGACACTGATACAGAGGAAAAACCCTAAGAAGTAGAATTAATATCCTACATTGTATATTAACCTTATCTTTATAGAATAACATATTGTTTAACCAAGTACCAGTGTGTTTCGTGCTAACCGCAAAGGCTAAGCATTAACCGCCTAAGCAACACCATGTACTCAGTTCTAACTTCCCTCGTAAGAGCCTGTAAGCCCTAACTTTGTTTAGCTCGCTTCGGCTATCCTTAGGGCGTTTCGCAATGCCCTAGGCATTTTTGCAAGTTTAGCAAAATTGTATAGCAGTATGTGCTAATAGGGAGGAACCTTGTGAGATAAGGAGAAGACAGACCCTTTGTAAGACCCTCCAAACCGGCCGAAACCAGGCTTGCGGTTTAGATAAGAACCAAGAAAGTACTAAGCATGCGCAAGCTCCAAAGGTTACTCCCGGTGATGAAGATGAAGCAGAGGTTACTGTAGGTGGCGATGAAGATCCAGCACTAAAGACCCCCGACGACCACCTAACAGTAAAACTGCGCAAGCACAAGAAGGAGGAGACCTAATTTTAATACGAAGCGGGACAGGTCATGAATATGTATAGGCGTTTCGCAACAATCTATGAATATGTATGTATAAGTAGCATATAAACCGAAAGAACAAAGGCTGAGGTGCGCATGCTAGGCGGAGAGATCCCCCATGCGCCCGGCGCCGCAATAAAGAATATCTGCTGCCACGAAAGAGTGATTTTCTTTGTTTCAA